TTTTTTTACAAGAGTTTGAATTAATGCTATACGAAATTGACGAATATGTGATGCTATTTTAAACACAGGATATGGTTGATAATCTTGATTTGAAAATAAATGCTAGAAGAGAAAAAGAGATATGTTTATTCTATTCTTATTCTTGTCTAACCTCATCATTTAAAAATAAACGACATAGGTCAATTGCAATTATACTACCAGTTCGACCACAACCAGCACTTTAAAGAAGAAAATAAGATATATTATTTTAAATCATTTTTATTTTTCGAACCTGCAATGTACAAGTATAGGTGAATCTATTGAAGAATCTCGATTTTTATATAATCGTAGAAGTAAATCTAGTATGGGTGCTTCATCATTTGGTGTATCATGATCTGGCCAATGTAAAAAATGATAAAGTAATACATGTCGTTGAGTTTCTTCTCGCGTAATTACTAATGGACATATTTCATAATCATTACAACTGTAAGATTTATCACTCGATTGATCCTATAATGAAAATCTTATGAGTCAAAACAAATTTTAAAGAAAAAAAACTAATATTACTTTAGCAATATGATATAAACCAAATTGACATGATTCTTCATTATTAGGCCAATAACGACGAAATTTGAACTGAATGAAAAATCAACTAATTAATAAATTGAACAGAAAAAGAGTAATTCTTACTCGTCCAGCTTCAACATCATTAGCTGTACAAATAATTGATGTTATTTGAAAATCCCAAATCATACGAATAAAATCATTGATAGATTCATCAATAGGTCCTTGAGCTGCTATATATCGATGATATCCATTAAAATCCTTCAAAAAAATTAAACCCAAAATTTAGTATTGATATAACGACAAAAAACAAAGTCTTACTTCAATAAATGATGCATTGATATAATCGGAATCATTCTCACATTTAAGAATTACTCGAGATTTATCATCTTAAAGAAACTTTATTTATTCGAAAGGAATTTTTTTTTTCTTCAAAATTAACTTACATGGTAAAACATCTTTATAACGATTTTTTAAACGATTTATTGGTTTTATACCTTCATTACAAGATAGGATATCTTTATTTTCAATCATAAATCTTTGCAATTTCTGGAAAAGAAAAGAAGATACAATTTATCTAATATGACATTATTTCTTACAGCAAATTGTTGACCGATTTCAGTCGAATCATGATCACATGTTCTTTCAAATTCAGTAATCAATCCTACTGTTCGACTACAAGTATTATTTCCATCAACATTTTTCGTCATCTATCTATAAAAGAAAATCAATTGTATTAATATTTCAATTTCTTTTCTATTATTGCAAATATTTGTATCATCTATATATCATACAAGATGATATAATTCTTTTACCTTTTAAAATTGCCGAATAATTCTCTCTTACTATCTTTAAGTCTTGATTGGTCAATCAAATACAATTCGAAATATTTATAAAATTTTCTACATAATTATCAATATAACATAACAATTGTACTAATATTCGATACTCATATTGCAAAAACAAGCTTTATATTCTAGCATATTATACTAACAACGACAATTTGTTGTATTAATGAATCATTCATTGATATGATCATTAAAAGCTATTTCTAATAGAATAGTAAAGCAGGCCAAATGATCTAGTCAAAGAAAAGAAATATAAGAACAAAACAGAACATTAAGACAACTACTCATAGATTTGTTATTGAGAATAAATAAATAAACAAACATTTCCATAGGATAATCGAATATAATCAATCAGAATAAAAATTTACACGCGAATATTCAATAAAATCTCATCATGAAATTCGATAGTATCTCTTATAGAAAAATAAATATTTGACTCAGACAAAATTTTAATAAAGATGATAATCATAACAATGATCATTAGTGACATCTATCAGTATCAATTCACTATTAAAGTGACGGTCCCAAAAATTGATACAATTCCTAACTTTAGAAAATCGGCGAAATAGAAGGTAATGAATTGTGATGATGTGCTTATATTTTTACAATATAAGATATGAAATTAACAGAAGTACAAATGTGTCAATATGTTATTCAAAGATTATTATGGCTTCCTCCACTCATCAAAAATCGATTTCCGAATCCCGTATATTCTAATCGCATGGACTTTTCCGAGCATGTTAAAACGGAAGTGCGGGAGCGATGATAAAATTTTCAGCTTTGCAACATGACATTGTCCTTTTTTCTGAATACTTATAATTCTTATGTGAAAAAAAAAATAATAAGTTGAAGACCTATAAAAACTCTCTCCAATGTTTTTTTCTATATAAGTGGATGCATGTATTTGAAGAACAAGTTTAAAACAACCAGCGTCATACCCTACATCTTGAAATGCTATTACAAAAAAAAAAAAAAACACTATAAACTTACTGATTAAGAACGAGCTTAATATATGTTCTATTAGGTTATTATTAAAACTGGTTCATATTTTAATAGCACTATTTATTTATAGTTTAAAAATATTCATATCGCAACAAAAAAAGAAAAAGAAAAGAAAGTCAACATCACTTACATCGTTCTTTCGTGATGATATATATATATTCATTTTCAATCACGCGCACACGCAAGTTATTAAATAGTTTGAAAGCAGAGAAGAAAAAAAAATATTCAATCACAAATAAAAATAAACGGATATAGCACAAGTATTTTTTTTTTAGTTTGAAAAAAGGAAAATAAAATGCACGATATCTTTTGTGTTTATTAATAATCTCGAGGAATGACAACGTTTGCAACTGGTCCACTTGAACGATTATTCGACGATGAACCATGAGCTAAACAAATAAAATAGAAAACTATTTTTCTATATTAAAAAGAATAATTTACAGATTGATCGTTTTTTGTTAGAATTCTTTGAACCGCGGTTATATGCTGTTGAATAGAATGGATCAAATTCTAAAATATTAAAGATTTTAAATAGAAAGAGAGAAGAAAAATCATTTGATTTTACCATTTGCTGATGTGTCATGAGCAGTAAGATCAGGTGAATCAGAATTTGTACGACGAAATTCATTTCCTCGAGGTCGAGGCTAAAAGAAAATATTATTAATAGATACATCATTTCGATTTAGTAAAATTCAAAATACATACTATTCCAGAATCATTGATTGTAACTGTCTTTTTTGGTTTAGCGCCATTGGCTTCAAGACCAAGTGCATTGGAACTATTTTCCTTTGTAATAATAGGATCAGAAGAAAGGACTGGTCCTACAGAATATTATCAATAAAAATCTTGACTAGATTTTGTTTTTTTCGGAATAACTTACCTATATCATTCATTAGTTCTTTATGATGAAGATTCGCTCTTCGTTGAGCAGCACGTGCAGCTATATCTTGTGTTTGTTTTCTAACGTCAAGTTTATCTTTGCCAGTATTATTTCGAAATGCCGGAGATGATGCAGATGGCCAGTCAATTGGTGGTGAAGTTGTATGTCCTTTTCGACGTGTATCACCATTATTTAATGATACATCAACACTTTCTGAACTTATACTACCCATAGAATTTCCTTTAGTTAATTGTTTTGATGCATGATCAAAATTAAAATGTGAATATGATACTGGTTTATTTGTTGCTGACATTAAATCATGTCCGACATCAGTATTATTTGTTGAATCATCATTGACATGAGTAAATAGATCTTGATCTGATAATGTACGATGTGGAGGTAATGTTGTTTGATTATTAAAACGTCGAGAATTTGCATTTGGTAAATGAAAACTAGTTACAGATGTTGATGCACTTGTTAAATCTTCTTCAGCAATTTGAGAAAGAAATGGAAATGTTGCTGATCCAGAAGGTTTACCACCATTATAATTAGCAGCTACTAAACGTGGTGAATAACTTTTAAGATCTTGAATAAGTTGACCTTCATCAATATCTTTAGAATATAATTGATACAATTCTTCAAGATCTGTTGGTACCAATATTCTGTTGTCTAGAAATATAATTATCAATTATTTATTTTACTAACAAGAGAACATTCTCACATGTCGGAATGCTTTTCAATTAAAATTTCGTATATCTTGATTCAAGCAAAATTTAGAACTATAGCGTTGTTGCTATAGTAGAAGTACTGTGTAGAGGAAATTCACTCAGAATAACAACATACGCAATTCTAACAGCTGACAATGCTATCCCATAAATATTATCGTTACCTCAACTGTATCACTTAAAAGAATGGTAACATGATATTTCTGAAGTACATAAAAATGAGCTATGATAATATCTTTCCATTATTTATTATTGACTACGTTCAAAATGACCTCGTGAGAAAATAAACTTAAATATCTTGTTCTAATGCATTACTTTAGAATGCAATTAACTATTTTAATATAAATTTTCTATCTAGAACAATTTTTGTTTTTAAATTTTATCATGAAATATATTAATAGATCTAGTTTAGAAGCAAAATTCTATGTCTAGACTTCCTGTAATTAAATTTTACCATGAATAAGTCTTCTCTGTTGATAAATAATTGTATCACATAAACTACGATGTTGTGACATACGTAATAATTGTAAATCTTTATGTTTAATTGAATAATCTCGAGTAAATATTTCAGCTTGTAATTCAATAGTTTTCATTTCATATTCAAAATTTTCTGTTAATAATCTTAATAATTCACGTTGTTCAGTAGTATTCATTTTTTTTGTTACTTTCTAGAAACAAAAAAACAATAAATTTTCTTCTATTAAAATTATTATTATTTGACAAACTTCAAGTAATCGACGTGATTCTTTTTTTGATGTTTCAAATTCTTGTAATTGTATTTTACGTTGTTTTTCTAATTTTCCACGTTCTTGTTCTAAGACTCGTAATTCTGCACGTGCTCTTTGTTTAGCAGTATCTGGTGAATTTGTATCATTCAGTAGTTCATCCGAAGATTTTTTATTATTATTACGTGGACTACTCTCTTCATTGGATACATTACTGAAAAAAACAAAATAAAATTTTATTTTAATTTCTATTTGCAATTTTTACTGTTCAATAACGGATTCATTTCTTTTATATTCATGTATAACATCCATAAGTCCAGTATCAATTTCAAGTAATGCTCGTCGAGCATCGATTTGTTTACGATATGATTGTATAATATTTTCTTTTAATTTTAAACCTTCTTCCACACGAAGACGTTCTGTTGTGCTATTATCTAATTGAAATAAAAATTAATCATTAAGAAAAATTGTTATAGAAAATATTAAAACTACAGATTGAAATGTTTATATATATATATATTTTGTTTTTAATATTATCTCTATTGTTTTAGAAACCATATCAAATTATTAAAATGTAGTAGTAAATAGAACTAATACCCACAGAATTGTTGTATTCCGATTGATTGTATATCTAATCTATGTTCTAAATTAAATATATAATCAATTTTTATACGAAGAATTAGATTTCGATTTATATTTAAAACTAAATGGAAATAGCTAGTAATGTATTCTGTCTCTCGAAGTAAAAAGAAATATTTCAAGGTCATTGAAAATGATTATCGTTCTTATAGATAAAATTAAACATACTTCCAAGTCGACTAAATCGAGGTTCATTTGTTGTTGTTAAACGCATTTCAAGGTCATCTCTTTGTTCACGTAACAGCTGAACTTGATTTCGTAGATCTTGTATTATTTGTTTATATTGTGCTATATGATATGATACATCGACTACATTTCTTCGAACCTATTTTAAGAAATTATAATGAAAATAAAAATAAATAAATAAATAAACAAACTTTTGTTTTTATATATTTTGCTCGATCAGCATAATTTAATGTATTTCGTGATTCTTCAAAATGTATTGATGCTGGTGAAATATGTGCAATCATAAGGGTACGTGAATTTCCTCCAAGAGAATCTTTTAATATTCTAGTTAATTTACTATCACGATAATTAACATATTTTGTATTTCCTTTTTCACTTAATGCATTAATACAATTTCCCAAAGCAAGCAATGATCGATTAATATGAGCACCTTACAAGAAAAAAACAAAACATTTCAATATCATTCGATTTAAAAATAATTAAATACCTTCTATCATTCGTTTTCCTGTATTTTGAGTTTGTGCTGCTCGTTCCGATCCAGCTAAATCAATCATATAAAGTTTTGCTAAAATACAAAAATCAATAAGTTTCTTATAAAAAATTAACATTAGAATTATACCAAATCGAACTTGATCTGTATGTGATCTATTGATATCACGTTGTTTTATATTAACTTGTAAAACAGCATGTGATCTTGATGATGTTTTATTAGCTTTTGTTGGTTCTTGTGTACGCGCACGATTTCCTTTATGTAACATATCCATAACTTCTTCAGGAGTTTTAGCAATAATTTCACTAAGACCAGCAACTTGTATTGTACCTTTAGCATCTTCACGTAATTCAAGAAATGATGATGCTGGTGCAAGTAAATCACGTATTAATTCATTATATATTTCTAAATAAGACATTGTCACTTGATATTCACGTTTTCCTTCAAATTTTTTAATTTCAACAAATAAATCATGCAATGTACGATACATAACACCTGGATTATTTTCTGTGCCTAACATGGTATATGTTTTTCCAGCTCCTAATTAATTTAAAGAAGAAAAACAAAAAAAAGATTATTTTTTCGATAAAACTATATTTAGAATTTACCTGTTGCACCATAAGCAAATACAGTAGCATTATAACCTTCTAGTACACTGCTTAATAATAACTTAGATGATGAACTATAAACTTCATGTTGATCAGCACGAGCATCGGAAACAACATCAAAAACATATTTACGTTCACGAGATCGATTGGCACGCAAAGCATTATCATGATCTTCTTCAGGATCGAGTAAAACAACCATCTAGATATTGATGAATATTTTATTTTTGAAAAAAAAAGAAATAGAATGAACAAACATACATTATCATCAGCTACTTTATGAGCAATATTTGTAGCTCCTTCCATTTCTTCTTCTTCTGTCATTGGGCGAATACGACAAGCGACCTTGATGAAAAACATAAGTGAAATACTTGAAAAAAAGAAAAATCCAAAATACTTACAACAACCTGTTGTTCACCTGTTGGTAATAAGAGTATTGGCGGTCCAGCGCCTCCATTGTCTTTTAATCCGCTAGTCATTATCTATTATATGGTGAATATCTAGTATCTAATATCATGTGCACAAAAATGTTTTTTTTTCTTCTAAAATTAAATCACACAGAACTCTCATTATTTTCTATCATAAAATATTTTATCTGACTCATAGATTCCAACATCTATGTATCTTACAAAATATGATACCACTCGTGATGAACGAATGGTATTGTCCGCTATGAACTTGAAACCTTTTTTTTTTGATTTACTCTTCTATAGAACATACAGACAAATACATTCACACTTACTTACTATGCTTACTTCTTCTTCTTCTTCTTCTTCTATGTTACAATCTGTTCTTCAAAAAAAAGCGTAAAAAGAATAAGAAGAAATAATAAGAGAAAAAGCAGAGAAAAAGTTCTTGTAATTCAAGATATATAGACACACGGAAAAACAATTAAGGTTAAAAAAAAACTCAAAGAAAGAAGAAAAAAATTGCAAACTTCAACGTTGTATTCAAGCTTTTCTTTCTGTCTGACATGAGAATCAGTGCCATTGTAATGCTGTAAAATAGCTAAGAGAAAAAGAGTATCATAATATGTTTGTTGTCAACTACGAGTCGTCGTCGACACCATCCATTAAATAAGCACATTAAATAGAAAA